GCTTTGGAAATGGCACTAAGTGTCTAGAATGGAGCTGAAGGGGGAAAGGGAAGGGAAGTGACATCTATTAGGATGTTATGACAAAAGTCTCAGAGAGGAGATGAAGGCTGAGTGCTCAATGAAGTAATGCAATCAAAGAGATCATTTCCGGGATTGTTGAAAAATTTGAATCAGACTCAGGTGTTAGGCATGAGGAATCAAAACCTAAGAAAAGGGTAAGTTAGAAGAAAAAATATGCTATCAAATTTATCTACATCTGATGAAAGTACAAATATATTTGCTTGCTTACATGGAGGTTGAGAAATGTTATTTAATTCACTTAAATATTATTGAATAGGTGTCTCCTAGACACTAAAGACACAGAAGAAAAATTATAGACAAATGTCCTGCTGTCAGAGTGTTTATAGTTTAATAGATGAAGATTTTAAAAAGCAAAAATAGGCTGGGAGTGGTGGCTCACACTTGTTAATCCCTGCACTTTGGGAGGCTGAGGTGGGTGGGCCACTTGAGGTCAGGAGTTTGAGACCAGCGTGGCCACCATGGTGAAACCCCATCTCTACTAAAAACACAAAAATTAGCCAGGCATGGTGGTGGGCGCCTGTAAGTCCAGCTACTTGGCAGGCTGAGGCATGAGAATCACTTGAGCCTGGGAGGCAGAGGTTGCAGTGAGCCGAGTTCGCGCTGTTGTACTCTAGCCTGGGAAACAAGAGTGAAGCTCCATCTCCAAAAATAAAACAAACAAACAAACACAAATACAAATAAAAAAGCAAAAATTTATTATAATAAATTAGGACATATAATTGCTATAGAGGGAATAAAACAGGTTAATGGATAGGAGATTAAGGTTTGAAGTACTGGAGAGACAGCTCTGGGAAGTATTTTGACTCTGTTTTGACATTTGAGCTCATAATACAACATTTCCAGCAGTAAAGAAAGACTAAAAAGGACAGTAGCAAGTGCCAAGGTGCAGAGAAGTTCATTAAGTTTGGGTATGATGAGGGTGATGACACATTTTTCAGTTAGAAAAGAGCAAGGTCTAGTATCTTAATGGAGTTCTTTCAGATTGTGATAAACATAAAAATGGAATTAAAGGGCCTGTTCTGGTTTCCTGGATGACTTTCTGATGTGGAGTGTTTACTGTTTTGGGGTTCTGATTTTAGTGTACTTTCCTCTAGTTCTAGATCATCCAAACTCTATCATTTAAATCTTACAGCAGAGAATGTCTTCTGGATTCAGTAGAAATGTGTCACAATCAGCAGAAACCTGTCCCTGTTTCATTCGTGTAACAGGGATTATTACCTCAGGTCTGACTCTCTGAGGTTCCTGGCGCTGGGTGACCTCACAAAATGTCTGGCTCCAAGAAAGATAGCCCTATAATCGCTATCAACCCAGGAGTAAAGCTATGTCCAGGATAGAATCTGTCCAACTGATGGACAGTTGGGGTTTCTTCCAAGAGCAGGCTAGCTTTTACATCTGGAATATTTGTGAGTCAGATCTGAGGACTAACTGCACTCTCTGGAACTCTACTCTGAAGTTATTATAGTATTGCAAGCAGTGGATAACACTTTCCATATCTTCAAAATCTGAAATATGATTCTCTCAGTTTAGGAACATTTTGAGACATTCAGCTTGTGTGAAATGAGAAAATTATGATAATGTTAACAGAAACAGGATAAAATTAGAGCTGTGCATGTGAGTGGTGTGTGTGTGTGTGTGTGTGTGTGTGTGTGTACACACATGTAGGTGTGGCCTGTTTGGTGCAGGTCGGGAAAAATGAATATTTGAATTCGCATATGTAATCACATTATGGAGGAAAGGAAAAACTACTTATATTTCACAATACTTTCTGTGGTCATTATTACATATTGTGGAGGCTTTAAATTGTAAAATCTATATTGTAAAATTTGTTCTTTGAATCATTTAACAAACCTTAAGATTTATGTTTCAACTAGGTGCTGTGATTGGTGCTGAGATGGAGAGATAAAACACGTAGTCCATTCTAAGAATTCAAAATCTTTGACTGGACACAATACTAAATCATACATAGCAGGTGTGCTTGCAGGTATAATGGCATTACCAAGAAGAACTCAAGGGTGAAACTTAAATCAGAATGTGGCAAGAGAAAGCTTGACAAGGATAGGAAATTGCTTCCAGAGGAGAATGATAGAAACAGAGCCATAAAGGATGAGGTAGATTTGGTCAGTTACAAGAGACAGAAAATGGAATTCAAGGCCTAGACATTCAAGGAAAGAAGAAAACAAACTGTCAGTTTACTGAACGAGTAGGAGGCTCCATTGAGAACTTTTAATCAGTGTCCACTGGCATAAAAGAATTATCAGGTCTCTTGGGTGAGCTCCACTGTCTGATATGGTGCCACTAGCCAGATGGGGCTGTTGAGTGCTCAAAATGGGTATAGTCCAAAATGAAATGTGTTGTAAGTGTAAAATACACAGTAGACATCAAAGACTTAATAGAAAAAAGAATGAAAGTATCAAATACATTTATTTATTGTATGTTAAATGATAATATTTTGAGGCAGGATGAATAAAATATGGTATAAATTAATTCGCCTATTTCTTTTTATTCTTTTAAAATGTGGACATTGGAAAATTTAAATTTCTCAATGTTTTTCATGACATATTTCTATCGTAGAGTGTTGTCCTAAAGGGCCAATTATAACAAACTGGCCATGTAAGGACACTGGCTAGAAAGAGAAGTTACTAGCAAAGATGAGGAAGCCTAACCATACTATCCAGGTATAAGGAGTAGATCAGTCTGAGGCAATAGGACCACAGTTGCCAGTGCTGCAGGCTTCAGGGGAGGAGCAAAGTCTCCCGTATAGACAAATTTTTCTTCTGTAATAGTTTGTTTAGTAAATGTGTACTGTAGTTTGTTTTGTGCTGCTACAATAGAATGCCTGAGACTGGGTAATTTATAATAAACAGAAATTTATTAGCTAATAGTTCTGGTGGCTGGAAAATCCAGTATCAAAGTGGCGAGGGACTTCCTCCTCCATCAAAACATGGCAGAAGGCATCACATGGTGAAAGACCAACAGAGGGCAAGAGAGAGAAAGAGCAAGACGGGGTGAACCCATTCCCATGATAACAGACTTGCTCCTGTGATAATGGTGTTAGCCTATTTATGAGCATGGAGCCTTCATGACTGAAACTTTTTATAATGATCCTATCTCCAAATACCTTCACAAGGCAATTAAATTCCAACATGAGTTTTAATGGGGCAAACATTTAAACCGTAGCAATGGGATTGATCAATGTCCCATCTGTTTAGATACAAAGATATAAATACCTACCTCACACCATATGCATAAGAAATTCCACACTGATTAAAGTTCTGCACATGAAAGTCAAATTATGAAAGTGCTAGAATATGGTACAGGGTTTTAGGAATTTTGCAAGCCAGTTGTTAAACTATTGGTAAGTTGAAAGCAATCATGCTTAGAAATATTTACACCATGAAAATTGGCAAATCAGAAACTACCACTCCCAATCTCAGCTGAGATCATTAAACAATTAACAGCATACCACTGTCCATATTCCCAAGGTCACTGGGAAGAAATCTATTTTTCAAATGTTTTACAACAGTTATATATGATTTATGGGACTGAAGAAAAAAAATATCTATAGAAATCAATGAAAAGTAATTGTATCAATATTGATTGTTTTATGTTTAGAAATCTCTAGCATCTCTTTTAAGTTGATATTCAGATTCTCTACATGAAACATTGTCTTTAGCTCTTCTCTCCTCTGCAAGACATCACTTCCTCACAGTAATCCAAATAATCACACTTCTAAAAACAAAATTGTATAGCAATTAAGAGTGTAGATTCCAGAGTCATATTACATTACTACTGCTCTAGTATAGGCTTCATCATTCATTAGCTATGTGATCATGAACACATTATTCAGCTCCTTTGAGCCTCAGTGTACGAAAAGGTGAAATGATACAATAGCGTTACTTCAGAATTGTTGAGAGTATCAGATTAAAGAAAGCATGCCAGCTGTACCACTGTGAAAACTCAGTAAATTTTTATTGTATTTATTATTAGGTTGCTATTGTTATATAGTTAATGTTCAACCATTTTTAACATGAAATGATTATTTGATATGGCTTACTCCCATTCTTCAGGTTGTCTGTTTACTTGGTTAATTATTTCTTTTGTTGTGCAGAAGCTTGTTAGTTTAATTAAGCTCCATTTATCTATTTTTGTTTTTGTGGCATACTTTTGAAGTATTAGTCTTGAATTCTTTGCCTTGACCAATGTTCAGAAAAAGTTTTCCCTAGGTTTTCTTCTAATATTTTTATTGTTTCAGGTCTTACATTGAAGTCTTTAATACATCTCGAGTTGATTTTTGTATGTGATGGGGGATGGGGTCCAGTTTATCTTGTCTGCATATAGCAATACAGTTTTCCCAGCATCATTTATTGAAGAGGGTGTCCTTTCCCTAGTATATATTCTTGTTGACTTAGTCAAAGAACAGCTGGTTGTAAATATATGGCTTTATTAACAGGTTCTCTCTTCTGTTCCATTGATCTATGTTTCTACATTTATACCACTACTATACTGTTTTGGTTACTATATTCTTGTGTGTGTGTGTATACATATAAAATACTATCTATATAATATAGTATCTACAATAAGTTTTGATAAATGAATTTGGTAAAATTTTTTGGTAAAGTTTTTAGGTTTTTCTTTTTATAAGATCATATTATCAGCAAATAGAATACTCAACATTGCTAACCATCACAGAAATGCAAATTAAAATGACAATGAGGTATAATCTTATATCACTCAAAATGGCTATTATTGAAATGACAAAAAATAACAGATGTTGGTGAGGAGATGAAAATTATAAAGGGAAATTTAAATATTAATTATTATTTTTTTCTCATGTAACATCCTTTAAATTAAAATTAAAAAATTTACAGCTTGAAGAAAGCTCATAGACTTTCAATTTAAGTTAGTGAGTGCCCCTAGTTTGTTAGATTCACAGAAAATAAAGACAAAGTTATTGACCTTAAATAACTGAGAATTTTCTGAGGGAGCCAGATAAACAAAATGAGAGTATGCCAGTATAACATATTGAGAACCTTAATAGAACTGGGCAAATGGATCCCTAGAAGAATGTTGGAGTGATGCTTAATGCATATTGTGAATGTTCAGGAAGCTTTTATGGGAGATATAGCCTAAGCTGTGCTTTGAAGGATCAGTAGGATTTTGGCAGGTAAAAATTGGAAGTCAGTAGCAAAGACATGAAATCGACTTAAATTGTGCATCAGTGGTAGACTGGACAAAGAAAACATGATACATATGAAACATGGAATATTATGTAGCCATAAACAAGAACAAGATTATGTCCCTTGTAGAAACATGGTTGGAGCTGAAGCTATCATCCTTAGCAGTAAATTAATGCAGGAACAGAAAACCAAATACTGGAAGTTCTCACTTAGAAGTGGGAGCTAAATGATGAGAACGCATGGACGCAAAGAGGGGATCAACACATGCAGGGGTCTACTTGAAGGGGGAGGGTGGGAGGAGGGAGAGAATCAGAAAAAATAACTGTTGGGTACCAGGCTTAGTACCTGTGTGATGAAATTATCTGTACAACAAACTCCTGAGACATGAGTTTACCTATATAACAAACCTGCACATTTACCCCTAACCTAAAATAAAAGTTAAAAAAAATTTGATGAAGTGGGCAAGATGTTTCAAAGAAAGTAACACATTGAAAAGTTCCAAGAAATTTTACGGTGGACTATGGTGCATTGGAAAAAATCCTGTTGCTTTTATTTTACTATATTGTATCTGACCTCTGTTTTACATCACTTCAGATCTTTGCCTCAACTGTCTCTTGCTCTAGCCACCACTGCAGTGGCCATCCTGCATGGGCTCCATCTACTTTCTTGCAAGTGTTACCTAAGAATGCCTCGTTTTGTGCCTTTGCTGTTTGCTTCCCCCACTCTGGTCTGGGGATTTCTTGTTCATTATTGAGATAGAAAATGCTAGGACATCTCCCAGTGCCCAAGTATGTGTGTACCTGGAAATACAGGAGAGATAATGGCCTCTGGAGTAAAAAAATCTAAATTAGGTTTGATTACATTCCACAAGGCATGTTTGTTCCACATGTGGGTTACAGCTGTATTCTTACAATTCTCATGACTGGCTGGGGGCAAATCCTGGACATAATTACCTGAAACACTCATTGTCCTTAGAATAATGAGCTTTTCAAAAATGAAAATTGTTGTAATGAGGCCACAGTGTCTATGTTGTGTGCTCCACCCATTTCTGGTGGTATATAAAGGTCTCAGGGCAGACGATGACATTCAGACTTCAGAATCACATCCCTGTTTCTCTACGGAACTACTAAACACCCATCTCTAGGCACCATGTGTTGCAACTACTACAGAAACTCATGTGGTAGCTATGGCTATGGCTGTGGCTATGGCTGTGGCTCTGGATGTGGATATGGCTCTGGCTATGGCTGTGGCCGTGGCTATGGCTCTGGATATGGCTGTGGATATGGCTCTGGCTACAGCTGTGGCTGTGGCTCTGGCTACGGCTGTGGATACGGCTCTGGCTACGGCTGCGGATACGGCTCTGGCTATGGCTGCAGATATGGCTCTGGCTACGGCTGTGGATACGGCTCTGGCTATGGCTGCGGATACGGCTCTGGCTACAGCTGTGGATACGGCTCTGGCTATGGCTGCGGATACGGCTCTGGCTATGGCAGTGGCTGTGGTTATGGCTGTGGATATGGCTCTGGCTATGGCTCTAGCTGCTATGGCTACCAGCCATTTTGCTATAGATGTTATTCTTGCTGCTAGAAAATAACTGCCATGCATCTTGTCTTCTAAAATGACCATTTTAAGGCCATTTATGTTTCAATATCCTACAATTCCATCAAATTCCACTGAATAGAGAGTAGTCAGAACCCGAAGAAAACAGATTGTCTTTTGAAATCCTGCTTGCTATTGTGAGGGCCTGTGGTGCTCCATGATGTTTCTGGAAGACAGAAGACCTAACTCTGGCCATGGTCCAAATATAAACCTACTACCTTCTTATTTTATGTTTCCATATTGTGACTATTTCCAAATAAACAAGTTTCATTGGTCCTAACAAGTTTTTCTATTTTTTTCTTGTTTCAGACATGCTATTGACTTATATTTTTGTCTTGTATTTCTATGACTTCTTCAGAGACTGGGTGGGCTAATTCTAAGCTGCTCATTCTAATTCTGCTTTCCATTCTGCTTGGTCAGTGCCTGCAACATACTAGATGTCACATATTTTAAATATCATCCCTGAATAAATGACTTCTTATTGGCCGAGTCTTGTGTTCTTAATTCATTTTAATTAAAACTTTGTTCTTAAGCATTTGTGTTTCATGACTCTGGATCTATCTATTTTTTTGCATGTTAATCAGCAATAATGCACTATACACATATACACACACTGAATGCCACAGAAAACCTGCTTCAGGAAAATGCTAATAACACAAAAATGGGTTGGAATGGAAGAGACAGATGGCTCAAAAGGTAAGTGTAATAATGATTAGGAAACTAGTTAAAGTGGTTTGCATTTCAGTGTAGGTAATGAAAAAGAAGAGACGAGCATCAGAGACTTGGTGAAGGCAGAACCTGTAAGATCTTAGACTTCAATAGGGAAAGAGAATGGAGACACATCTAGGGATGGCAAATATATAAAAAGTCTATATTTCTCCTTAGCACTTAGAATTGTGGGGAATTTGGAGTGGTATGTATAGTTACATATCTTCAAGACTGGTGTTGCAAAATTAGTAATACTAGTTTTGCAGATGTGCCCTATGTCTTTGTTGAGAAACTAATTAGATTAGGAGAAAGATCCTTCTAGGCAGGGAAGAAAAAATAAATATTTAATGGTTAAAATGTACATATTTGAGTGATAAATACAATAAAAACCTAGACTTTACAACCACACGGTATATCTATGTAACAAAATTGCACTTGTACCCTTTAAGCTTATGCAAATGAAAAAAGGTCATATATTGGAATGTTATTGCTATAGCCATCATCTCTCTTGGAAGAAATGTAATCACAGTTGAGCCAAAAAGAAAAAAATCACAGGTGTGAAAAATCGCTATTCTCAGATGGCCCCCAGTAACCTGTACCTTTGTGTGATTTACTCTCCTTGAATGTGGGAAGGGCTGGTAACTTGTTTCTAATCTTAGTGAAGATGGTGGGCTCTCCCTTCTGTGATTACATTATGTTTAGGTTTTGCAGATAAAACACAAAATTAACCAATGTGAATTTCATATTAAAATATACATCTTTTTTAGTATAAGTGTGTTTCATGCAATATCTGGGGCATATTTATAGAATCTGGCAACTCAAGCTACGTGTCAAAGAAATTTTGCAGATGTCCTGGCTGACACATTAATTACGATAATGTGAGACCTTGAGGCAAGATCCCAGCTAGGTTGTGCTTAGACTTCTCATCTATGAAAACTGAGATAATAATGGATATTGTTTTAAGCTGCTATTTTGGTGATGATTTGTTATGCAGTAATAGAAACATATTACCACAAACTTCTTCTTCTGTTCTCTATATTACCTTGTAAGATGTGTGGTTGTCTTTGACAACCAGGATAACATATCTGCACAACAGCAGAGATTAGGAAGCCAGCCATTCCAATGAACTTCAAGGACAGATTGTTTTCAAGTGAAAATGAAAAGGTGAGAGGCACTATCAGCCATATTTGGTGGGACTGCCCTGGGCACAAAATATTTAAATAAATTTTATCTTTGATCTCAAGTGACACTGAGAAAAATAAGAGACCTTAAAGTATATGGGGTATTTTACAACAGAGTAATTATACAGTGGAGTAGATAACCACACAAAATATTGAGATCCCTGTTACAATAAGTATTTAAGCATTCGATGATCAGGAAGCGAGATTTTATGTAGCATAGCACAGAAGAATACATACTTGTGCTTCATATGTGCCTTTAGTAAGTTTCCTATAACTACTTTTTGTACCTCAGTGTCTCTATGATACCTACTTCTTTCATGTTTTGATTTCAACTAAAATAAAAGTATTCAAAGTAATTTAAAATTTATAAAACATTCAACAGCTGTTATCATAAAGGATATTCATTTGTTGTTGTTCTAGTTTGAACTAAATAAACATCTAGAGTTGATAAATATTTGTTAAAGAATTTCTCCAGGAGTGAATATATGTTATCAGAATATTATATTTATGGCTATTTGAATTCACAGGAACTCTGTAACATGAAATATTGAGGAGTTTCCATATACGGCAGCATTGGGTTCCAATGACATCACCTACAAAGTAATTAGTAATTAGCAAGCTAGTCAAAATAATTGGTCAAACTTGTTTTAATGATTGCATTTTTAAACATCAACTGCCCAATCCTCCACAGAGCCTTCATATATGAAATATATCTTTGGAATCATGTGTTCAGATGACTGGCTAATGGATAGAAATGGTTCTTAGAGGTTTGTAATTGGCTCAAGACAATGTCTGGATAACAAAAAAATGGATCCTCAATAAAACTGGAAAATCTATAATAATGTGTTTATTTAAAGCACACACTGTGCTATGAAAACACCAGGCCCTCTCAGTATTAACTGAGTGGGCTGATTTGCACATACTAGGTATTAAACATTTTTTACATGAATAATGAAATTGATGGTATGTCCTGGCTCTTTCTGTTAGGATGTAAAGGCTCTAGGGTTTTATGTTACATTCAAACTTCAGAAAAATCCTTCTGTACCTCCACCGAAATCTCACCTTTTGGCACCATGAATTTCAACTACTATGGGAATGCCTATGGAGACTGTGGATATGATTCCAGATATGGACATGGGTCTGGTTCTACTGTAGCTGCTGTATCTACTAACCGTTTTGCTACAGAAGATGCTACTCCTCTTACTACTAGAACATCATCCTAGAGCCTATGTTTGAAATGATATTTTAAGATTAATACTTCTTCCCAGAGGATATCCCATTTTATCATCTCTCTACATTCATTTAAGGATTGGATATTATCTGTGTTTACTTCAACAAATCTATTTGTTATTGAGAAGATACGAATGATCCCATTATGTTACCTGGAGACAGAAGATTTTATTCTAATTATATCCAAAATGTAAATTATTGGTTCTTCTATTTTTTGGTTTTGCATGTTCCATAAACATAAATACTTCATAGTTGGAGAAAATTATACTTTTTCATAACCAAATTTAACCTATTTTTGTAAAAATTTGTGGGTTTTTCTGTGCTACACTCATCACTACTTTAGTGTTTGTTCTTCCCTGAAATTTCAGGAAAGCAGTGTATTAGTGGAGACTTAGATTTACTTATTCCTTCAACAATTACTCATTTATTGCTAATTCTTTCATCAATATCACATAGTTTTGTTTTTGTAGTATTGTAGTAACTTGATATTAGGTAGTGTGAGGCTTTCAACTTTGATTTCTTTTCAAAATTATTTTGACGGTGAGTACAAAATTACAGTTAGACAGAACAAATTTTGGTGTTCCATTACCCAAAAGAGTGACTATAGCAAAAAACAATGTATTGTATATTTCAAGATAGGTAGAAAGATTTTGAATGTTTTCACTAGAAAGAAATGATAAAGTTTAAAATGATGGATATGGTAATTATCCTGACCTGATCATTGTACTATGTATATATGCATTGAAACATCACATTTTACATAATAAATATGTATAATTATGTGTCAATTACAAATTAAATAAAATATGTTGTCTGTTCTAGTTATTTTGCCTTTGCATCTAAATATTCAAGTCAGCTTGTCAATAGCCATAAATATATCCTGCTTAGATTTCGATAGGGATAGAGTCAAATTCATAGATCATTTCTGGGAGAATGAACGTCTTAACAATATTGAGTCCAATCCGTAAATATGGTATTGATATATCTCTGTATTCATGTATTTCAGAATAAATTTTGGTGTTCTGTTACACAGTAGAGTGACTATAGCAAATGACAATGTATTGTATATTTCAAGATAGGTAGAAATATTTTGAATGTGGTAACTGTAAATAAATGATAAAGTTTGGGGCCGGGTGCAGTGGCTCACCAGCACTTTGGGAGGCCAAGGTGGGCAGATCACAAGTTCAGGAGATCGAGACTATCCTGGCTAACACAGCGAAACCCCGTCTCTACTAAAAATTAAAAAAAAAAATTAAAAAAATTAACCAGGATTGGTGGTGCAGGCCGTAGTACCAGCTGCTCAGGGGGCTGAGGCAGGGGAATCGCTTGAACCTGAGAAGCAGAGATTGCACTAAGCCAAGATTGCACCACTGTACTCCAGCCTGGGTGACAGAGCAAGACTCCATCTCAAAAAAAAAAAAAAAAAAAAAAAGATGAAGCTATGAGAATGCTTAGAAGAAGGGTGTACCTCATAGCACTTTGTGCTGAAGACAAGAAAATATACTAATTTTCTCCATGTATTTAATGATTTTTATATAGAAGATAGATTAAAATTAGTCTCTTGGTTCCAGGAGCCAGAATTAGATGAACATGTTTGAATTACAAAAAGGCAGACTTGTTATATAATATGTGACAGTTTTCTAAATGTAAGAGCCAAACAATGAGATTTGTTGCTAGAAGTAGTTATTCAGTTCTGTGTGCGTTTGAGTGTGGGATAACTTACTATTTATTCTGGTTTTTATGAGATAACTAAGACATACAGGAACTGAATAAACCTAACAGAACCTTAATACTTCTGTAATTTAAATAGTGACTATAAAGTGTAGAGTCAAAGTCACTGAAAAAAGTGGTAATGTTCTTAAAAGCAACTGGAAAGGGGTGAGAGAAAGAACTTTTTATAGGTTTGGACGTTGACCAGAGATGATGAGCGTATTTTGAATATGATGGCTGAGGTGAGGTAATAACCATATTAGCAAAGTAAGGCAGGTGTTTTAGATTTTGTGAAGTATCTGCAAAGGTTTAAACCTAAAGAGGATACAGGAGATACAATGGGGTCTTCTAGATATACAATCATGTCAGGAGATAAAATATTTCATGTTTTCCAAAAGCTGCATTAGAGACTTTATTGTGGATATACTAAGGAGGAATCAGAGAAACAAATATGCATACAAGGGTCTAAAGTTACATAGAATCTCCCCTTCCAAGGTGGTGAGAGCTTTAGATTGTACAGAAACTACTAACAAAAGGAAATTAGTGTAATAAAATGAGATTGTTAAAGACAGGAAGCCAAGAGCTCCTACAACCTCAAGAGAGGTTACTAATTTATCACTGGCGAAAATTATAGGTTGCATGTTGGATCAGGAAAGCTTGGAAAATGTGATTTTTATTTGGACTCTACCCTTCTGTGCCTGTCTCCTCCTCTGTTAAAACGATGTTCATCATTCTTAGCTTGGTGGTTTCACAGGATGATGTTAAGTCTCGAATAGAGATATCTGAGAAGGAAATATTTTCCACAGAAAAAGCATTCACAGGTGGAGAAAACCATCTTGTTGTGTGTGGAATTGGATAAAATCACATTTTGATTCAGATTAAATTGACATTGAAGGGAAAAGAGGGTAAAGAGGGGAAATGTATATTTGCTATCATGTGATGCTCACAGAACTTTTCGAGTTGACCTTATGAATCAGGAGGGCTCTTTCATAATGACACATTACTCATCTCTTCCAAAACCTTCATCTGCATTATGGTCACACTTCCAAACAGAGACTGACTTCACTTTTACATAGCAATCCTATGACTATCTGGGAATGCGGAAACTTACTTTCTCCCTATTTAATACACAGGCACGTTCCCAAGTTAGGTGTTGGTCAATTCAATAAATTTTCATGGTTATGAGATTTAAAATATGCGATGAAGCAAAGCCCTGTGATATGTTGCTTGATGTTATATTTTTACAGAACATTATTGTATAAAATACTTCAGACAAGGTAAACTTAGGTCAATTACATGGAAGTTCATTTTCTGTGAGCATCTAGTCACTTTTGAAAGTTTATTATAAAAACATTAATTGACATATGTATATTTATACACATGTATATCACAGATTTTAAAACTAGCAAAATTAAAATTCAAATCTCAAAATTTTAGTATAACAAACAGATCGATACAAGTATATACAGAAATTTGAAAAGCTGTTACTATTTAGGAATGTTTTATTTGGGTAAAAGAAAAGGGGAAAAGAAAGAAAATATGTTGCCTCCACTATGTATCAGGATTATTGCTACTCTCTTTATATTTCCTATATATTTTCTGTAGGCCTCTTGATAAAATTTTAAATAAATGTAGTTATTTTTATTCCCATTTGGCAGTTGCAGAAACTGAGGTTCATCTAAGTTGAGGACATTTTCCATGGTCATATAATTAGGAAACCATTCAGTCAGGAAATTAATCTATCTGTTTTCCAGGGAAAGCTATTTCTACTACAGAGCCTCTGGAACATGGAGGAGAGACTGTGCTGGTTAGCAGTTTATGGCCCCTTAGCATCCAATTCATCCTTCAGTAGATGCTCTGTGTGGATAGATGGGGTTCCCTTAAGTATTTCTCCTTCACTGCGAGCATAGCTTCAAGCTTTCTCAGTAGAGGATGTAACAGGGACATGCAGGAGGAAGCAGGGCTCCTGAATTCTTGGGTGCAGTACAGGAGGGGATTGGCGACTATTGGCAGTGTGGGTGTGAGGACATCTAGCAAAGCTCCACCTCAGCCTTGGGTGAGGAATATCCTGGATCCTGAGGGGCGTTGAGCTTTAACCCGGCAAGAACCTTTACTTGGTCCTGTCTATTTAAAAACTAGCACCTTAGAGATTGTTCACTCATGAGTCCCCTGCTCTTGTAGGGCTCCTACACAAACAGACACCCAGATTCCCTCTACAGGATGTCCCTACCCACCCTCGAGAGTCTGCCTGAAGCCCATGGCTTCCCAGTCTTTTACATGCCTACATCTCTAGATGGGCATTGCTTGTTCACCAACTCTGCTCCAGAGGATCGCCTCCTGTCTGCCTGGTGACTGCAGAACAAGTTTGATTATTCAGTCATTCATTTTATTGAGATATAATTGATATAAAAGTATACATTTTTAATGTACATAATTTCACGAATCTGGACATGTGCATATGCCCATGAAACCATCTCAACAGTAAAGGTAATAGAAATATTCATCATCTACAAAAGATACCTCCTATGCTCTCTTCGGTAAGAATACTTAAGAGGATATCTACTCTCTTAATAAGTTTTTCAAAGTATGTAATATGGTATAGTTAACTATAGCACAACAACTTTTCAATACATTCATCCAGAGGGTAGAGTACCTTTTCTAAGTGTGTTTTTCCTTCAGTAGTCTCCTGCAGCCTTGGAGTAGCATATAGATTCTTCATATCTTAAAAATGCTCTGTTATTATAGTTTATAATTTTTATATAAAACTTTTCCTATTAAACTAGCTGTGTATTTCTGTCTCCTGATTGGGCCCAGGCTGATGGAGACAATTTTAATTTTAGGAATTATTTGTATATACATGATATTGGAATCAGGGGTAGCAGAGAAGATTTGAAGATTTACTAGCGTGTAAAGTGAGAAGCAGAGATGGAGGGTGAAGTAATCACAAGAACCCCAGAATTTAGGAAAAAGAGCATTCTCAATGAAGAGAACTCATGAATTATGAATTCATTTATCATAGAAACAATGGGAGAAGATAAAGTTAAAAAAAGAATTAACAAGAAATTTATAGAAAGGTCAACACTTATTAAGGTCATAATGTAAAATACCAAAGAATTTCTTACACATAAAAATCATTATTAAAATTTTGTTTTGAAGAATAGAAATGTGACTAAAATCAAGATAATACTGTGGAATGATTAAAACAAGCCAATTAAGTCCAGTATCTCACATATTTATACATATTTTTTGTGGTGAAACATTTAAAATATACTCTTTCAGTAATTTAAAAATATATGATGCATTATTAATTATTATAGTCAGCAATCTGTGCCAGAGATTACTAAATCCGATTTCTACTAACTAAAATTTTGTACCCTTTGAGCAACATTTCCCCGTTCCCCATCTGCTCCACTAGATGGAGTTATAAATTATTGATTGATTACATTTTAGTGAGAAGCACTGGTATACAGAACAAACATGAGGGTACTCTGAGTAAGTTCAAAAATGACGTATGTTTAAGAATTGGACCCTACAGTTGGACTTCAACAACAGAGAAGCTGTGAACCAAGGATTTACTCTCGTTCTAAATTAACATTTTTGGAAAGTTTGTTTTTAAAATAATAAATGATACATCTTCTTACATAACTGATCTGTCACAAGTTTAAAAACATTTTTTCCTTCAAAGAAGGTAGAGAAGATCATAACCTGCATGAAGAAGGGGATGGAAAACCTTTTTTTTTTTTCCAGAGATAAGTAGAGGATTTCAGAGAGTGGAGGTAGCACGTGGATATACCCAATTGCCTGTCCAAAATCCCTGAAAAGAATTTGAAGTGTTCGTGATTAAAAACCCAAAGTGTTAGGAAAGGATAAGAATAAATGATAATGATATCAAGAGCAGTGAATAGAACTTCTGATTTAATAGATGACTCCCAAGGTCTTACAAGAGCAGAATGGTAAACATGCATTTATAGGTCAAACTGGTGACGTGTTATGTCATAACCATGAGTGAAATTATGGCAAATAAAATTATAGTTGTATAAACTTGCATGTTTGGAACTTGTATGTTTGTTTCTTTTTGGGGATGAAAATATTCCTAGGGAAGCTATAAGCAAATTATAAATTCCTAAGAAAGTAGATGTACACAGAAGGAGCTCATTTTAGGCAAATGATTGTAAAATGAGCAAATAGACCCATGTGAGGATGACCCATGCATTTCTGGATGTATATAAAGATCTTGGAAGAGTGGAAGACACTCACACTTCAGAAATATCCTCCTGCGGCTCCACTGAAAGCTCACCTCCTGACACCATGTGTTGCAACTACTACAGAAACTCCTATGGGGGCTGTGGATACAGCTCTGGCTGGGGTTCTGGCTGTGGATATGGTTGTGGCTCTGGCTATGGCTGTGGGTATGGCTCTGGCTGTGGCTATGGCTGTGGATATGGCTCTGGCTGTGGCTATGGCTGTGGATATGGCTCTGGATATGGAACAGGCTGTGGCTATGGCTGTGGATACAGCTCTGGCTGTGGATATGACTGTGGATACGGCTCTGGATATGGATTAAACTCTCACTATGGCTGTGGATACAGCTCTGGCTGCTGTGGCTACCGACCATTTTGCTACAGAAGATGCTATTCCACTTGCTGCTAATCATCATTACAGATCATCCTTACCTTTGCAGTGACCATTCCAAGAGCAAGTTCAATTTAAATTTTCCCTATCCACTATCTTGACATATAAGTAAAGATTGACTGTGGTCCATTGACCATCTGAATGCATAGAAGAGAAGCTGCAGCGGATGGAGACTGAGTAGTTATATCACATCACTGAAGAGAGGAGATCTATTCTGATTAATTTTCAAATGTAAATTCAGACATCTTTTTTCCATCTTTCTGCCATGACTATTTGCAGAAGCACAAGAGGACTGTATAATTGGAATGTACTAAAATGAAACAAAAATAGAATTTTCTTAATAAAAGGCCTTTTTCACTAAGAAATCTCGCCTCCTTAATGTTAGAATCAGCATTAATTGGAGGGTTTGTGGCTTCCTCAAAAGCTGGCGACAATGTTATCTTATTAGTTGAATCCAAATACTGATGTTTACCATATTTCTTAATTCCTTGTGTGTTAATTATTTAAATTTGTATTTAAATATAAACACAAATATCACACTCAAAATTTCAAATAATAAATAAAAAAGATTAGAATTAGAACGTGTGGACACAGGGAGGGGAGCATCACACACTGCAGTCAGTAGTAGGGGGCTGGGGAAGGACAGTGGGGGTGGGGAGGGTGTGGAGGGATAATGAGGGGAGAAATACCAGATAAAGGTGATGAAAGCATGAAGGCAGCAAACCACCTTACCATGTATGTACCTATGCAACAATCCTGCATGATTTGCACATGTACCCCAGAACCTAAAGTACAATAATTAAAAAAAAAAAGATTAGAATAGAATGAAGAAAGAGACAGGGAATCTACTAACCGATTTCATTTTGTCAGTGTCCGAAGAAAGTTGGCCATTCTATGATATATTTTAAATCTAAATACATTTTTTAGTATATCTTTTTAAAACCTTTTTCCCTCAGCACGATTGCATTAAAACATTGATTTCTGATACTATATGTGCATTTAAATGACTACTTCTTATTACTCTATGGTACTTCACGTAGCTCATATACAAGATTTTGCCTCTTTACTATCTCAGTGATACATACACAACCACACCCAGCACTGCTTCAGCACAACATTGCTGTAATGAACACACTTCCCCTATGGGTTTCTGTAAGAGTCAATCCCGGAATCTGAATAGTTGGTACAAGTTGCGTGTTTATCTTTAATTTTTCTAAGTTTTCCCGTTAGTCTCCAGAACGTCTGCACCAGCCTAAACTCTCAAATTTCACTTCTCTGTTCTTACATATGTTTCAATACTTGTTTTATCTAATTTTCTAATATTGCTTGTTTGCACAGTAAAAATATTATCTTGCTGTTGTAATTTATACGTCTTTGATTACTCAAGCATTTGAACAATTTTATTTCTTCCAATATATATTAATCTTCATGGTTTCTTTTTTATATCCCTTTCTCCATTTTAAAAATGGATTTTTTTTGCCTTTTTTTGAGTGATTTGTAGGAATTTATTACATATTCTTGATAAATTCCCATGTCATTTTTAGGCACTGGAAAAATCTTGTAAACTGTTGTTTGTTTATTTTTGCTAATAGTGCACACAATCGCACAAAAATTATTAACTGTCATTTCTGATTTTGTAGTTTTCTGTCAAAAATACTCTACATTTTCACATAATTTTAAAGTTTCACATTTTGCTTTTAGATTATTAACCCACCTGGAGTCCACCTTTATATATGTTGGTCCGGTTTCATTTTACACTATGTTGAGCTAGGTTCTCCAGTACCACCTACTAAACAGCCCACTGTCACTGATTAGTGTGGCTATCTTTAGTCTATGTTGTTATGAAGTATACATGAGTTCAACTCTGAAGTTTGTACCATCCTTATTTTACATTTATATTTCTTAGCATTTTTCAAAGGTTTTGTGTGTGGGGTTATGTGTGACAGAGAAATAGGTTTATTCTGCTTTGTTTTCACACTGATGACAACTAGATCTGATAGCCAGACTTTAAAATTTTACAATATAAGACATTTTTCTAATGGCTAAAGCAGTATGAAGATGGAATAAACTGTCTTGTTGGCATCCTTGTCATGAAGGTATTGAAAAATTTGGATCTCCACATACGAGAAAATTCCAAGTAAATCTGCATTCAGAACATAGACTTAATTAATTGATCCATATCATTCGCTTCTACTTTGAAATACTGTGACTCTACATGTGAAGAACAATTGAAGGTTAGCTGTAGGTAACCTGGATAATAACAATATGGCCTTTAAAGTGAAAGAATAATGATCATTTTATTACAGAGTTGGAATAAAGAATGTCAGGTTTCAAGCAAGCTTTGAGGTATCCAATCTGCTGTTAGTGCCAGTATTAATGGATTTCTGGGAACAATGATTTCCAGAGCAAGAGAAAGAAAGACACCAGATTTGTAATGTCTATGCAGAGAAACTTATTAGAGTGGTCAGATATTACTGCAATAATGTGCAGGATCTAGTTCAGCTATTGAAAAGATATCAGGGACTACTCACTGTGAAATTGATATACCACTAGAAAGAATTATCTAATTACAATGAAGGACAGCAAGAGAGGAGGAAAGGAATAAAATGATCCATTAAAACATCCAGAAAATAAGAAAATTCTGATAGTAATTCTTTAGCTATCAGGGATTGTTTTGAAAGAAAATAAATTCCTCAGTAAAAAGACAATGTGGTTGAAGATGTAAAAAACATGAACATGCCAATTACAAGTAAGGAGATTGAATAAGCAATTAAATGGCCATCATAGGAATGCCCAAGAATTAATGACTTCAATATTGAATTCTACCAAACATTTTAAGAACTAATACCATCTTTCCAAACTCCTCCAAAAAGCTGAAGATGAGGATACATTTGTATTTATTTTGTGAGGCCAGCATTGCCCTGATAGTAAATCCAGAGAAGAATACTATAATAAAGAGAATTACAGGCCAGTATTCCTGACAAATACAGGTGCTACAATTCTTTTTTTTTTTCTTTTTTTTCCCCCATTTATTTATTTAATTGCATTTTAGGTTTTGGGGTACATGTGAAGAACATGCAAGATTGTTGCATAGGTACACACGTGGCAGTGTGATTTGCTGCCTTCCTCCCCATCACCTACCTCTGGCATCTCTCCCCTTGCTATCTCTCCCCAGTTCCCCACCCCCCACCGTCCCTCCCCTATTTCCCCCTAACTGACCCCAGTGTGTAGTGCTCCCCTCCCTGTGTCCATGTGTTCTCATTGTTCAACACCCGCCTGTGAGTGAGAACATGCGGTGTTTGATCTTCTGCTCTTCTGTCAATTTGCTGAGAATGATGGTTTCCAGGTTCATTCATGTCCCTACAAAGGACACAAACTCATCGTTTTTGATGGCTGCATAATATTCCATGGTGTATATGTGCCACATTTTCCCTGTCCAGTCTATCATCGATGGACATTTGGGTTGGTTCCAGGTCTTTGCTATTGTAAACAGTGCTGCAATGAACATTCGTGTGCACGTGTCCTTATAGTAGAACGATTTATAATCCTTTGGATATATACCCAGTAATGGGATTGCTGGGTCAAATGGAAGTTCTATTTCTAGGTCCTTGAGGAATTGCCACACTGTCTTCCACAATGGTTGAACTAATTTACACTCCCACCAACAGTGTAAAAGTGTTCCTATTTCTCCACATCCTCTCCAGCATCTGTTGTCTCCAGATTTTTTAATGATTGCCATTCTAACTGGCGTGAGATGGTATCTCAATGTAGTTTTGATTTGCATTTCTCTGATGACCAGTGATGATGAGTATTTTTTCATATGTTTGTTGGCCTCATGTATGTCTTCTTTTGTAAAGTATCTGTTCATATCCTTTGCCCACTTTTGAATGGGCATGTTCGTTTTTTTCTTGAAAATCTCTTTTAGTTCTTTGTAAATTCTGGATATCAGCCCTTTGTCAGATGGGTAAACAGCAAAATTTTTTTCCCATTCTGTTGGTTGCCGATTCACTCTAATGACTGTTTCTTTTGCTGTGCAGAAGCTGTGGAGTTTGATTAGGTCCCATTTGTCTATTTTGGCTTTTGTTGCCAATGCTTTTGGTGTTTTGGTCATGAAGTCCTTGCCTACGCCTACGTCCTGAATGGTTTTGCCTAGATTTTCTTCTAGGGTTTTTATGGTGTTAGGTCTTATGTTTAAGTCTTTAATCCATCTGGAGTTAATTTTAGTGGAAGGTGTCAGGAAGGGGTCCAGTTTCTGCTTTCTGCACATGGCTCGCCAGTTTTCCCAACACCATTTATTAAACAAGGAATCCTTTCCCCATGGCTTATTTTTGTCTGGTTTGTCAAAGATCAGATGGTTGTAGATATGTTGTGTTGCCTCCGAGACCTCTGTTCTATATCCATTGGTCTATATCTCTGTTTTGGTACCAGTACCATGCTCTTTTGTTTACTGTAGCCTTGTAGTATAGTTTGAAGTCTGGTAGTGTGATGCCTCCCGCTTTGTTCTTTTTGCTTAGAATTGACTTGGCTATGCGGGCTCTCTTTTGGCTCCATATGAAGTTTAAGGTGTTTTTTTCCAGTTCTGTGAAGAAGGTCGTTGGTAGCTTGATGGGGATAGCATTGAATCTGTAAATTACTTTGGGCAGTATGGCCGTTTTCACGATATTGATTCTTCCTAACCATGAACATGGAATGCTTCTACACCTGTTTGTGTCCTCTCTTATTTCATTGAGCAGTGGCTTGTAGTTCTCCTGGAAGAGGTCCTTTACATTCCTTGTTAGTTGTATTCCTAGGTATTTTATTCTCTTTGTGGCAATTGTGAATGGAAGTTTGTTCTTGATTTGGCTCTCTTTAAGTCTGTTATTGGTGTATAGGAATGCATGTGATTTTTGCACATTGATTTTGTATCCTGAGACTTTGCTGAAGTTGCTTATCAGTCTCAGGAGATTTGGAGCTGAGACGATGGGGTCTTCTAGATACACAATCATGTCATCTGCAAATAGAGACAATTTGACTTCCTCCTTTCCTATTTGAATGCCCTTTATTTCTTTTTCTTGCCTGATTGCTCTGGCTAGAACTTCCAGTACTATATTGAGTAGGAGTGGTGAGAGAGGGCATCCGTGTCTAGTGCCAGATTTCAAGTGGAGTGCTTCCAGCTTTTGCCCATTCAGGATGTTATTGGCTGTTGTTTTGTCATAAATAGCTTTTATTATTTTGAGATACATTCCATCAATACCTAGCTCATTGAGTGTTTTTAGCATAAAGGGCGGTTGAATTCTGTCAAAGGCCTTCTCTGCATCGATTGAGATAATCATGTGGTTTTTGTCTTTGGTTCTGTTTATGTGGTGAATTACGTTTATAGACTTTTGTATGTTGAACCAGGCTTGCATCCCTGGGATGAAGCCTACTTGATCATGGTGGATAAGCTTTTTGATGTGCTGTTGCAATCGGCTTGTCAGTATTTTATTGAAGATTTTTGCATCTATGTTCATCATGGATATTGGCCTGAAGTTTTCTTTTCTTGTTG